AAGCTACTAGGTTGGAGGCCATCGCTACTAGGCTGGAGGCCATTCCTCCTATATAGTAGCAAGAAGCTAGTATTCCAAGGTTTGAGAGGATGATGTCTGAGGCCCTCACATCGGAGCCACGGAAGGAGAAGATGTGGCGCTCACCTACGCGCAGAGGCCGAAGCAATCCACTCAGTTGAATGCAAAGTGTGGCACATAGCGACTCAGTTTTCACTGTCATACTCAGTTTTGCACACCCCGTCAATACTCCGAGCATTATCACACAAGGTTTTTCTGAGGTGGCCGCACTGCTCCAACAACAATTCTACAAAGGATATGTGGCTGAATTCGCCAGCCTCGAAGCAAAACTCGTTGATGAGAATGGGAAATGTGCATAACCCATGAAAAAGCGACTCAGTACAACACCTCCAGTTGAAAGAGTGCAGGGGCACTCTCATCTTCCCGCTCCTTTCTCACCGCTGGACCTGACTGACAAAGCACGAAGTACAGGGTCAATACCGCTTTGGGGCTTTGGGCGGAAACTGTCAGTGATCCAAATCGACAGGTTTAGTTGGCTGGTCAGGCTTGCCAACAACACCTTGGCCTTGCTCCATTCTACACAAGGATAAAAGAACAATTTCGCATGTACAGGACTAGAAATGGGGTGATTTTAAAAATATGCACGGCTTGCGGCTTGCTTTGTGAGTCTGGCAGGTGATGGGGTTTCATGTCTTTTCTCACACTCCTCACAGCGGCGACCATGCAAACAACTCCTACACATGCGTACAGTCGTACAGTGTCCAAGGTTGTCGTTTTGCCCGGAACACAAGTCTCTGCGGCCTTCGGTTTCAACATATGATTCTTCGGCACTTTCTTCCTCAACATGTGGATTCCTGCCAACATTGTCGGAGCAAGTCTCGGCCCAACCCATCATTTGGATTAGCATTAAGAATTGCTGACTACCTTCAGCATCTCCTCGCGGTTGCTCGGGTGAAGGCACATGCGAGCAAGGAAAGTGTGTGACCATCATCAATGCGATTTAGACCTCACAGAATCTTTTCAATATGCTGTTGTTGTTTCTTGTAACATCTGTTCTTTCGCATGAAAGCGACATCCACTGAGCTTCCGTGCGGGGTGTAAGAGACCCAACAATCTGGTCAAAAATGGGTTCCCGCCCAGGATCGGAGAGCCTCGCAGGATCTGCGTCGTTTTCAAACGAGGCGTGACGCGGTCCGGCAAAAAAGGAGCGCCTGGCATAAGACAGGGCGAGAAGCGACAAATCCTCTGGCAGTTCAATGCACAAGTCTTGACATGGGAAGATGCCAGGTCAAAAGGATTCAAAGGAACCTAAAAGCGATGGCCTCCAACCTACTAGCGATGGCCTCCACCCTAATAGCAATGGGCTCTCCAACCTAGGAAAACTGTTAAACAGCGGAGGTTCAAACACACCTAACCTAAGGGGCCAAGAACACTCGCACACTGTTTGGCTCGAAGCCAGATGCTCAACGCGCCTGCGGCGACAACAGTGAAACATGTCCGAGGGCCATCCATGCTCTTTCACACGGATCCTTTTTTATGTGGCCCGAGGACCGCTGGTGTAAAACGTGACCAGCTGCCGGAATCGGTGCGCCAACTGCTCCTGCTGGTTGTTCAAGTCCTTGAGGTCGAGCTTCTCTTCCAGCACTCGCCACACCACTTCGCCGGTCTTGGTCCTCCAGCTGGCATAGGAACTCCGGTAGGGGTAGTCCGGCAAGGAGTACCTGGGTTGTGGACTCCTCAGGGATTTGGCATTGTGCGCCACATGAATCCCGACACCTTCAACGTAGCGCCATCCACTCTGTTCCGCCAGCTTGTAGACATGGCGCATCAGGGCCTCATCTTTTGCCTCCACTGCGCGACCAAGTAGGTCATCCACCATGTCGGCCACTTTGGCTTCTTTCTTCTTCTGTTTCGTGAAACTTTCGTTGTACTCAATCGACCACTCACCTTTCTGCAAAGTCTCTCGCAATGCACTATTGTCCATCATCTTCGTGCCACTGTCCACGAAGAGGTTCGCAGCGCTGCGCTCGTCCATCTCATGGAGGTTCCAGGTCTTCGAAGTTGTTGTCGAAGAGCTGCTAGGCTAAAGGCGAAGCTCTTCTGCGCACCAAACCCAACATCTTGGGAAAGTCTGTCATAGACGTCTTTCGCGTCAGTAACTCCAACGAGGTTCACTTGACAGACATTGATGTGTCCCGTTCGGCGTTCGACTTCAATGCCTCTGAGCTCGGCGATGAAGCCACGGCAAAGCTCTGCCGCATCAAGCCCTTCCTCGCATCCCAGCGTCTCTGCCGCGTAGGAACTGCGACAGACCCTTTGCAACCGATGGCTGCGAAAGTCCAGGACATTGAAGTGTCCATGCTTGCCAAGCATCATCTGCTCATCGGCGAGGAGCACCGCGTAGCAGGACTGACTGTGCACCTTTTCGGCCGGCGTGGCCTCAGTGCATCCGCTGGCATTGACATTGCCGAGAGCTGCATCGGTCACCACCATGATGCCGCCAAGCTTGTAGTCCACGGCCTTGAACTGCAAGGTGAAGTCCTTATGGCGTTTTGCCTCTTCCACCACTTTGTTCACTCGAAGTTCCAACCGTTGCTCGCTCTGGCTGCAAGCTGCTCACCGCAAAGGACAGGTCGAAGCGAAGTTGCGCCACCAGCCACTGTAGAGCTCCTAGAACTCCTTTCAGCTTCTTCACCTCAGCGGCATTGAGCAAGCTTGAGACGTCTTTCCGTCTCTGGCGTGTCAGCTGCATGCCAGTCAGGTTCTCATGGTACCTTGTCATAGTCAAGGTCACTCGGCCATCAGCTTCTCGACTGAAGGTCTTTCCACACCAACTGAATGGCGAGGAGTCCATAGAACCAAAGCCAATCCGCTCACCAAGTCGAACCAAAGATGCTTCAGCCTCTTTGTCTCCAGACATCAACAGGTCGTCGACGTGTGCTGCTAGAATGCCTGTGAGCTCGTTCTCCTTGTTGAACTTAAGCCATAGTGCCAGGTCAAGACTTGACCGAATCCAGTTGTCCTCTCCAAGTTCACGGGCTAGTCGAAGGTACCACTCACGAGGCGCATCAGCAAGACCAAAAATGCCCTTGAGGACTTTGGCCACATGCACACCCAGTGGGGATTCCAATGCTCGGACCGAGCTTCGGGTTGGTCCTTCTGATGTACAGTTGTCTCTGCACATAGGGGTCGCCCTTCAGGAAAGCTGCACGCACGTCAGCGCTGAGAAGACACCATTCTGGATGACAGGCACAAACACAGCAAACCACATGTTGAGCTATTCTTGAAGCCGTTGGGGAATCTGTTCTCAGCTCTCCATTGAGGTTGGCAAGGTCACGGAATCCAGGAACGATGATCCGTGCATTTGCCTTCAGCGGGAGCGGGCGCTCAGGAGATCGGAGCTTGGCGTTCTTGTCCACCAGGATGAACCTTGGATTCATGATCCTCTCAAGCTCACCTTTTCGCTCCAACTCTTGTTCCACCGCTCGTGACTCATCAGGGCCTAACACCATCACAGCTTCATTCTCCAGCCATTTCTTCCATTGGTCATCCGCTGCAAGACGGAATTCTTGTCTTGTCTCTTCATTCATCTCTGACCATCGAAGTTCACGTCCTTGAGCCGCAGTGGTCAAGGCTTCTCTGATGTCGCTGTTCGATCCGGAAGGCCACTGCATTTGTAGTTTGTGACTGCGTTCACTTGTCGCTCTGTTGGACGAGACCATCTGCCATCCCAGCATCCGTGATCATCTTCTCCATGATGGCCATTCTCTATGTCTTCCTGGGCTTTGTTGACGGCCTCCAACAACGGGTGTCTCAGCTCTGCAGAAAGAACATCTATTGCTCAAGTCGAAGTGGTTCCATCAACCTTCTGCGAACGGCCTCTCGGTCGTCTGTCGGCTCGGAGAGAGAGCTCGTCTCACAGCTGACCGAGGAACAGTTGAAGCTTCCGGCTTCCCACTCTCCACAGGTAGCTCTTGTCCGGCCTGAGGGTCACGACCATCATCAGCTTGTTGAGGTAGAAGAGGACGTAGGTCGCTCTCACCACGAAGTCCACCTCCAGGTTCTGGGCCTCCACCAAGAAGTCCATCACGAGGTAGGTCAGGCGATCGACTCGGCTCTCCTGCAACTCCAGCCAATGGGGCTGTCTGCTCAGTTGCATGACTGTCTCCTCGATGCCAATCTTGAAGGAAGCGACGAGTAGCTTGAACAAGGTGCTGCCTGCACCAAAGCTGGCATCATCCCTGGTTAAGGAAAAGGATAAACCACCGCAGGTGTTGGTGACTCTCCACGAAGCTCAGGCTGAACTTCTGGGGGCTCCTCCGGCGGCTCTGTCGGCTCATAGCTCTCCTCACCAATTCCATCTCCTTCTTGATGGTCATCAGGATGTTGGTCTTCCACTGCATTGATGACATCCTCAACGATGGCATCCCAGTCCGAGGCAACAAGACGTTCCAGAGAACTTGCACGACGTAGGTGCTCCATGGCCACTTGAGTCACGTTGCCACAGTAGGCGACGTAGGCAGCATTCGGCATCTCCTTGCCTTCAATGGCCAAGAGCACTCCAGGACCATGCCACTTCTTCAACTCTAGCCTCCTCCTCTGCACGATCTTCATCTTCTTGCTCGTGGGCTTTTGCTCACGGTAGAAGTACACGACATCACCAACCGTGAAGCCATCCCAACCGACTTGGTCACGAGCTCTTGCAACTGAAGCTGCTCTCAACGCTCTGCTGTAGTGAAGTCTCACCATGGCAAGCTTTGCAACCTCTCGCATGGCCACCAGCCTGGAGAACGAAGGTGTCTCAAGGGCCACACTGTGAGCGGCAAGTCGGGCGCGAAGGTCCGAGGGCCCAGCTTCTCCAACAACTCGAGGTTGACGTCCCAGCACCATCTGGCTCGGAGAGAACCCGGTGCCATCCACGTCATTGTTGACGGCTTCCAGTGCTGAAGCCAGGGCGGTTCGCATGTCATCCATGCCAGCTGCTACCGCCTCGTGGATTGTGGCTCGGAGAACGGCCTTTAGTGAACCTCCCGCTCTCTCGGCTATGCCGTTTTGCCAAGGTGCGCCTACCGGCACATGGTGCAAGACTACGTCGCGCATGTCCATGGTGTGCTGCACCACCGCCGCCATGAACTCTCTGCCAAGATCTGCGGTGATCTGCGAGGGGATGCCGAGCGTATTGAACCAACACTCCTGGAAGAACTCCAGCCCGCTCTTCTCTTCCAGTACCTTAGCAACTTGGTACCTGGAAGCGGCATCAACGGCATGGGCAATCCAGTAGGTCTCACCATGGCTGTCGTGAACAGCAATCAGGTCGGCATAGAGGTGGTCATTGAAGTTCCTGACTCGAGGTAGGCTGGCTGGTCTTCTGGTTCCAGGCCGCTTGGTCTCATGGCAGATCTCGCATTTGTGCTCCTTTGCAGCTTTGATCAACATCTGATCAGCTCCTGTGATCAGCAGAGCACGGGCCAAACGAAGAGGTGGTCGATGGCCAGTCACCTCATGAAGATGCTTTGCCATCTTGCGATCTCTAGCCGTTGGATTTCCATCTCCAGGCACCACCACGTCATCGATCTGCTCGTCCTGGTCCGCCGGGTTGTCCAGCATGAAGTTCCCATCATCTCCACCAGGCTCGTCTGAAGGTCCACCAGGTCCATCTTCGCCTCCATCGCCAGCATCATCATCGCCACCTTCGCCGTTGGCGCCTGAAAGCTCCTCAATGACGTTGACCTCCAACATGGACCATTCACGCTCGATACCTTCGAGCAAGGTCTCTGCAAGTAGAGGTGGATAGTGTCCTGCAAGTCGAGTCACTTTTGCGCCTCCAATGATGGCTTCATGAGGGTGGTTCCGGGCACATCGAAACCCACCCAAAGCTGCTGCAACCTCCTTGGACGAAGTGAGGAAGGACGTTGGCTTGTAGCGCAATCCTCCTCCAGCTCCTCTCAAGCCAAAGGCGCACTGGTCGACTCGCACATGGTAAAGATCCAACTCCTTTGCCTTCTCCACCAATCGTCGAAGTCGTCCAACCAATCGCCAGGCAGCTGATGTGGCCGGATTCTCCAGGATGAAGTGATTCCCAGATAGAATCTGTTCAACAGCCTTCGAACTCCACCAGAATCTTCTCATACCGGCGCCTCTTCTCCAACCGGGCCTGCTTTACAGGATCACCTCGGGTGGTCATGTTGATGAGGTTTGACCAGACACTGCATGGGAAAGCGATCACCGAGCAAAATGGCCTGTTCTGCCGGGTGTCTACATTTGCACGCTTTCGATCTTGAACCTTGAAAAGATCATATCCAGTCTTCAAGGTGATGGACTGCATGATGGCATGTCCCTTCCTGATGGCACAGGAGGACACAGGCTCAGTCTCTGATCGTCACGAAGGGTGTTGTGATGTAATGGACATAGACCTCAACTGACTTGATCAAGCTTCCATGAGGCAGTCGGTGTCCTGCTCGATCTCGATGAAGTACTCGGTCTTCCAACATCATCCAACCATCCTCGGTAGTTCGGATCCAGGAAGAAATCGGCACAGAGCCATCCAAAGGCAGCATGCCCTTCTGGCTCATAGCATCGAAGCCAACGAAGAACTTGTCCCATTCCGGCAATCGTGAGAGCCCTGTTGACCAAGCATCACTGCAGTTCGTATCGGGAAGCTGAACTGCTCCCATGACCCGGGGGGTATTGGCTTTCAATCCACTCCTGCGTCACCTCAAGCCATGTTTTAGTGAGTTTCAGCTGTCCTTGAAGTTGTCCGTCCGGACGAAGTTGATGTTGCCCTCCTCGTCGCAGAACACCGACCTTCGCTGTCCAGTGAAGGCCTCATAGGGAAAGAACCTTGGCGCCGTTGCCGTCGACGGAGTGTACAGAATCCTCCGAGGGGCATAGTGATCTCTGCAGATCGATCCACTGATGTGGCCAAAACGCCACTCATCCGTCAGTCGACGATGGAGTCTGCTAGTCGTGAGAGGTTCTCGAAGTCCTGAAAGAGGAACTCATGCCCTCAAAACGACTGGCAGGCAGCTCCGGCATCTGCAAGTCCGCCATGAAGACCTCAGACTGCTTGTCACTGGCCACCTGGTCAATGAAGTCGACATACTCTGCCTCCATAACCTCATTGACATAGCTCACAGGGGCTCCCATCTTTTCTCGCATTCGACGGGCTTTCATCACCGCATCACGAACAGCTAGACGTGCACCACTCTTCGTGTCCTTGAATAAAGCCTTCCGCAGGGTGCCAACTGAGAGCCTCACAGCATCTGATCGTCGGTCTCGTTCAGCTGGTAGAAGTGAGGAGTGAGTACCCAACCGCCCTGAGCTGAACGGGTGTGGGGGTTGAAGTGGGCGAAGTGGCCCTGCCCATCCGGGCTCATCTGGAGTCCCCACAGGACTGGGTGAGGAGGAACCGCAGTCGGGACAGTTGGTCCTGTTGGTACTGACGCTGCTGTTGTGGTCCAGGCTGACTGTGGCGTCCGGGGTCGTCGACGCCGTCTTGCTTCTGGCTCACCGGTGAGCTGGAGCCATGGGCTTTCCCCATCACTGCGTCCACTAGCGGCTTGATCTTCACCTTCAGCTGCTCGATGGTGTCCTTGGGATCCACGACGACGTTCAACAGCACCGCCAACTTCACCAGGTCCCCCTTCGTTCGGGGCATTCCTCCTCGCTGTCCGAGAAGCTCCCGGGCGAGATCTTCTTTCCGGCCATCCAGCTCTGCGATGGCTTGGTGAGTTGCCTGAACTAGCGCGGCTTGCTGGCGAGCTCGGGTTGGCTTCTTCAGAGCCTTGATTCCGAACATCACCGCCTCGTCCTCCATGAAGGCTTCCTCCAGTCCCATCCTCTGCCGAAGAACCTTGGCCTCGTTGAGGTGGACCAGGGGCATGTACCCCATCGCCTTCGGTTGCCAGCGCTTCGGCCACACATGCCGCTTCACCATGTCCTTCAGCTGAGCTTTCCACTCCTCCGAAGTCGTCACCACTGGTAAGGGCACCGGGGAAAGGTCGCTGAACCAGCCAAAGCATCACGCCGCACGCCCTTCCAACGCCATGTTCTCCTCGCCTGAAGTCGAAGTAGGAAGGAAGCGCTGCCATCGCGACACCACCGGGGTGAGGACGTCGAACGGGCTGGGCAGCATCTTCCCCAGGCATCCAGGCCTTGCTTGAGCTGAAGGACTCCGGGATGTAGTTAGTGCACAACCATGTTCAAGTCACCATCAGCATCACTCGAACGGTCGACAAGACGATTGCGAGCTTTCCATGACACTCGACCTTCACATTGAACCTCACAACAACCTCCAACTCCTACGACATGCCAAGACTGCGAAGTGAGCGTCGGCCACGAAGAGAGGGGCTTGGGGAGAAGGTTCATGGAAAAGTGTCCTGCCCTCGTCTTGCTCAGGGGAATCCAACCATCACTGACATACCTCAGTTGCACCTTCTTGGAGGGAAAGTCCAAAGTCGCCCCTAAGCTCTCTAAGAAGTCCTTCCCAAGCAAGCAACCCAGTGAAGCACATGGGATCTCCGCCAACCAGAGGAGGACCACTTGGTTCTGCACCAGGACAGGAATCCATTAGGCTTTCTAGGACACCGCCATTGCCAAACCTGAAATAGTCTCGGCAAGGCTTCTCATCAACCAAGCTCCTGATGTGTTCAGGGGCTTTCTCCAAGGCATTCTTCATGTGAGCCAGCCACTCAGCTCCGGCGCAACTCCGATTTCAAGCGGAGTCCAAAGCCGCCACAAAGAGCTTGTCAGGGTCAAGGCCCACTGCATTTGCTGCGCTTGTCGAAAGAGCCTCAGACAAGGAAGAAACCACATTGATCTCGTGGATGGTGGGCTCCAAGTCAAAGGAAACATTTTGAGCTCCTGCCAACAGGTCAACCACATTCACCTCAGCAGTGTGAGCTTCACTCCTGTAGTTCGAGGACTTTGGTAAGGTAGTCGACGATGCAGGGCATTCAGCATCACCTTGCCAGTGACCAGTTTGACCACAAGCAAAGCACTTGCCATCCTTTTGGCCTGAGCCTGAACCTTTCTTGCCACGACCTTTTCCTCCCTTGAAGCCAGTCGAACCAGGTCCACGAAAACCACGATCTCGCTTGAGGGCATTGATTTGCGTCCTCGCTTCACGAAGGGTCACCAATGCCTCAACTGCACCTTCCACTTGCTCCTCAATGGCTGCAAGGTCATCATCGCCTTGTGAACCATCAGCCAACTCATCAATCTCTGTCGCAAGGGCCTCAATGGTCTGTTGAAGTCCTTCAAAGCCAGCTAGGCTGTCTGCATCTGTTGCACCACCGTCATCCTCTTCAGCTGGAGGTTCTCCTTCAGCTTCAAAGGCCTCGTTCTCAGCCGCCACCTCGTCGTCATACTCAGTGACGTTGACCAAACCACCAAAGCCTTTTCCGCCACGCCTCCAGGAAGGGGTAGAAGACGACGTAGTCGAAGGGAAACTCCTGCGAAACCTGGACAAAGTCGAAGGCGTCAAAGAAGGAGATCGTTTAACGAAGCTCCCATGTCCGCCTTCGCGGTGTTGGCTTCCATGTCCATGGCCAGGTCCAAAATGGACTCGCTTGAAGAGGCCAACTGCCTCTCGTTCGCAGGCTCCATAGTCCTCGGTCTCGACGCCCAGGGTGGTCTCCAGCATCTGTCGTTGAAGCTCTGTGAGGGCAAGCTTTTGCTTGAAGAACCATGCCTGCTCGCTGGGGTCCACAGTGATTCCTTCGGCCTTCATCTCGCCGATCAGGGTCCTGTGCCGAAGAGCGAAGTTCGGCACACTCTCACTGCCACCATGACGAAGCTGCAGGTAGTACTTCTCCCGAAGCTCACCCTTGCGGTCTGTCTGTGACCTCCCAATCATGTCGTCCCAGGAGGCCAGGATCTTCTGGACTCCGGCGTCGTAGACCGCGGGTGAAATCTCGATCATCTCATCGGTCTCATCATCCTTCACCTTCTCAGCTGGAGTGTATTCAAGTTCCTTCGGGTCGAACTCCAGCGCACGAAGCTTTGCACTTCCTCTCTGCCTCATTGCAAAGCGGGCAGCCAGGTTGTAGGAAGTGGTCTTCTCTAGGTCGATTGAGTGCAACCACCATTGGACGGATTTCTTGAACTCTCGAAGCGTCTCGCTCCGTCCATCCCAGACCGGTATATAGCTGTCAAAGCCTCGGTCATCCTTCTTCTCATCACTCATCTTCTCCGTCTCCAAGTCCACGTTGAAGTGGTCCGCCACCAGGCAACCTTCTACCCCTCAAAAGGGAGAGGCTTTACGCCACCAGGGAAGTCCGTGTCCAGGTCGTCCACGTTGTAGTTCAGACGTAGTCCAGACCACGAAGTCGAAGTTGTCCAAAGCCAGGTCGGGCAGACCGCCCAACACCAAGAAGTCGAGGCCAGCAGGCCAAAGCAAAGACCGTCAGCACGAAGAAGACGAAGTAGCTCTAGCGAAGTCCACGCAGGGCAGCACTATGGCACGAGGGTCGACAGCTCCGCTGCCACTGTTAAACAGCGGAGGTTCAAACACACCTAACCTAAGGGGCCAAGAACACTCGCACACTGTTTGGCTCGAAGCCAGATGCTCAAGGCGCCTGCGGCGACAACAGTGAAACATGGTTCAAAGAAGCACACTGGTTCCTCCCACTTGGACTTTTCAGTTATTCGTCGAAGAAGTGGTGGAAGCAAGCTTCGACAAAGAAGCTCATCACGTAAGCCAAACTTTGCCAGACCATTCCTTGGCATTTTGCTTGGCAGGTTGCACTTTGATAGACTATGTGTGGCAGTGTGTTTTTGTTAAACGACCTTCAGTCTTCTAAGTGTGAAGCAGGAGCAATGCTGCATCACGAACACGGAACTGTCGAGCTTTGCTTCGAACCTCCCAATGGAGCTTTGGGTTTCGGTGTCAGTGAAGGTACGAGGTTCAGCCGTGCTCCCTGACCTCTTGTAGCAAGTAGTCCAAAACCGAGGAGTCCTTGTAGCGGATACGGGCCTGACAAGTCGTTGTATGAAGTTGTATGTGTTGTTACATATGTTCATTCATGCAGTGAAGTGCTGGCGTCAGGTATGGTCAGCCATCTGAAATCCAAATTGGCCGTGCCCAATACTGTAAACTGTTTCGCAAACACTTATCACGCTGTGACGGTGCACAGAAAGCCCGCTTTGGGACTAACTGGACCTGAAGGGTGACTAATCAATCGCTCTCCATTATGTCCCCAATAATGCCACCATCATCGTCTCGAGAGCTCTCATTGAAGTACTTAAAATCCTTGGAGTTGAAAAAACAGGATGACGAAATGGATTGGAAGGAACATTACATACCTCACAAAGCCAGTACAGTTTGGATCTTGTCTAGTCTATGTGCATATGACCAGCAGCCAAAAGTGCAACCATCAACGTGCTCTTGCAAAACAAGGAACATGTTGTGTGAACAGTTTTTAACAACAATGCCACAATGTGCCTCTAATGATCGCTGTGGGAAAGCAAGCAATGTATGTAGCAAGCTGTTGCTGCCATCTTCACAAACACACAACAATCAATCTACCTGGTGAGCGGCCCCACAGTTGCAGCGGTTCGGCCGGGCTTGCGGAGTGTGCAAGGGATTTGCACGCAAAACGTTAAAGCGATGAAGAGTCGGCAGAAGCACATACTGTCGTTGTGTGTGTGTGTGTTCGTATCTTCCGTGGTGCTTGAAAAGCAGCTTCACAACTTCCACACAACACGTCCTTCAAGCAAGATAAAGCTGGCTGTGCGCTGACAAAGTGTCCATGAATATTGCGACCGCCAAGACCATCAGCTTCGCAGCAGGATGACCAACCTTCACGCTATGTGGGTCGGTGAGAAAATCAAAATCTCACATGATGCATGCAGCAGCAATGCTCCAAGAAAACACAACAAATAGTTTCAAACATAGTGTGCCTCGCCAAATTCTACATGGTAGTTGTCCACATCTTCTTGAATCATCCACTTGCAGCATTTGATCTTCTTCACAATTTCTCCAATTTGCCGACCATCAGGTTCCCTTGCTTGGAGACGTTGCAGGACTCAAAAATCCAAACCCACCGGGTTTTTAGTGACTGGGTTTTTAGTCTGGGTATACAAGCTGAAAGCTCCAAAATCAATACAAATCCAACCCATTAATGACCTAGCATCTAACTAAAGTCAACCTGAAGAGTTCCCATCAATCATTCCAAGCAAACAGGAGGTATCCCAGTCTTACAGCTGCAAATCTCTCTCCCTCTCTCCTTGTCTTCTCTTTACCCCGAAGGCCCAAGGGAGGCGCCTCATATTTACACACATCTCTAGCTCAGATTCGCACGCACAAGCTGTAGACCTCTATATAATTAGCTCATATTCGCACACACGCCTTTCCATTGCTTGTCGAATCACACTTCCATCGTCAAAACTCACTTTCGCACACACACACACTCCCATGCCACATGCGAACACACTTTTAGCTGAGATGTGGGATTTGTCATGGATTACAGGTCTGATATGTTGCGAGTTGTGTGCGAAGGGTGGGGGGTAGGGAGGTGGGGCTAATAGCATGATTGGTCGATGGCCACAAAATCACAGCTCACATCTGCGCACAACTGCACACGGCCGCTTCATTCTGTCGTGGTTCTTCTTGGTTTTGGAGATGGTCGCAGTCGATGTGAATCGATTTGTTCTAGGGTTGTTCTTATGTATGCTCGCTTCCTTCACGGTATTTGGTGAGTGCAAAAACGAGCAAATGGACCACGTGCAAAAGCGAGACAGATTCCACGCGCAAAAGCGAGGGGCCGCCCCCTCTCTCTCTCCCACCCTGATCGCTCTCTCTCTCTCTCTCTCTCTCTTTCTTTCTCATGTTTATGTGTTTTCGCTTTCTCTTTTCTTCTTTATCTTTCTATCTTTTCTTCTCTCCGGTACGCTGTGCTGCATTGGTGGGTTTCTTCCATCAATTTCAAGGGCCATGATGCTTGAAAGCTGTATCTTGTGCTCGATTGCTCCTTTGGTCATGGCTGGTGGAGAGGCATCTGCTTATGTTGCATCCCGGTGCCTAGTGTTCGCTTTCGCCAGCTATCCCTTTGATCTACGGTTTCAGTCACACCTATACTTGGGCAAAATAGAAGGAACTGGAGCTGTTTCAATTATATAAACTACCGCATCCGCAAAAGAAATTTAGAAAGCTATTTCCAATTCCCTTTGAGATTCCACCAACAACTAAACATGCGTTTCATTCCTTCTTCTCCAGGAAACTGGATTTCAAAATGCACTCGAGAACACGGTCCGCAAGGGAAAGGGCAACAGAGTCCAATCTGGCAACAGCCCCCATCAATCGTCACCAAATCTCGGCCCTCATGATCCTGGCCAGGAGCGATCGGACGCTACTAGGGGCTCCTGGCCTTACTACTAGGAGCAATGTTCACTACTAGGAAGAAAGGTCATCGCTACTAGGAGCAAGGAAGCTACTAGTAGCTCCGGGCATCGCTACTAGTAGCTCCACAGGTCTCCAACCTACTAGTAATAGCAATGACCTCCAACCCAAGAGCGATGGCCTCCAACCTACCACAAGTAGTAATGCCCTCCAACCTACTAGCAAAAAAGAAACTGAGCAGAAAGTAGAAAAGGCAAACAACGAACATGGAAACGTACATGACTCCGCGGCGTGCGTTGTTTGTCGCTGAGCCTTCGCATGAAAGACGAGATTGCAGCAAGTGCATGGATCAACAACAGAACCCACAGGAATGCCACTTGTATCTCGCACCGTCACAGTGGGGCGGTTGAAGCAACAACCTTAGACACAACCGAAACCGTCAAAATGTCCAAAAACAAGTGGGAAGACCACCTTCCGCTTTCCTGACAATCAACTGGCCCCTCTTGCACACTCAGCTCAAGCGGAAAGTATACAGTAGATATCATACGACCCATGTCGGGGGAATGGGAAGCTTTGTTTTCTCATCACTCTGGCACACAAGCTTTGTGAGCTCATGCGATATCCAATTTGGGGCAATTCCGGAGTCAGCTCACCAGAACCAGTCCCACAGACTTCCTCCCAAAACCAAACGCGCACCCGCTGGCTGAGGAACATCTCTGAATTGTTTCACCCATCGGATCTCTGTGTACGGTATGCGTGATAAGAAAGGAAGAGATCAACATAGGCTCCGTCACCGCGGGCAGAGTTACTTGTCCGAATCGCGAGATATCAGCATAACACAGCACAAAAGGAAACCAGCCCAGTTGAGATTGTCTTTCACAACACGCTTCACATTGACGACTGTAAGACTATTTCGCCAATTTAAGCTTGGTTCTTTTTCAAAGAAACGTTCCCTTTCATCGCCATGCTGCACGTTGCAGTCCATTCTTTTTCCAGTTTGAATGCAGGAGCGCCCCTGTACCTTGCTTCACTGCGACAAGCTTCGTAGGAAAAGGAGAAATCACGAAGCCAAAGGAATGGAATGGAAACGCTATGCCGCTATCCAAGCCAGGTGGCAAAAGATCAACATTCCAAGCTGCGCAATCTGGGCAACACTGTTTAAGTTGCCTTGTCAAACAATCAGTCTGCTCCACGGCATAGAATATCTCGCCACCCTTTGCAGCAAAGCAACTTGTGTACCACAGCATCGCAAAGAAAACCCTCCGCTTGCATGCACAAAGCAATTCACTGTGGAACGAGTGTGAATAGCACGGTACTCTCTAGGCACAAGAAAGAAAGGTTGACGAATAGCATGAAATCCAATGGCCTCCAACCTAATAGCCATGCCCTCCAATCTTTTGTGATGGCCTCCGACCCAATAGCGATGGCCTCCAACCGCCTCCAATCTAATTGCCATGGCCTCAAATCTAATAGTGATGGCCTCCAACCTAATAGCGATGGCCTCCAACCTAATAGCGATGGCCTCCAATCCAATAGCGATGGCCTCCAATCTAATAGTCATGGCCTCCAACCTAATAGCGATGGCCTCCAACCTAATAGTGATGGCCTCCAATCTAATAGCGATGGCCTCCAATCTAATAGTGATGGCCTCAACCTAAAGCGATGGCCTCCAACCAAAAAGCGATGGCCTCCAATCAAATAGCAATGGCCTCCAACCTAATAGTGATGGCCTCCAACCTGATAGCGATGGGGTCCAACCCAATAGCGATGGCCTCTAATCTAATAGCGATGGCCTCCAATCTAATAATCATGGCCTCCAACCTAATAGCGATGGCCTCCAACCTAATAGTGATGGCCTCCAATCTAATAGCGATGGCCTCCAATCTAATTGTGATGGCCTCCAACCTAATAGCGATGGCCTCCAACCTAATATAGCGAAGGCTTCCAACCTAATAGCGATGGCCTCCAACCTAATAGCGATAGCCTCCAACCCAATAGCGATGGCCTTGAACCTAATAGGAATGGCCTCCTCAAGTATCCAAGAGGTTCCAAACATGTGGCCCCTGTTTTGTTTCACTGCTTGTGCTACTTTGTCGCTGATTTCTAGAAGCAAAAGAACTCGAGTTGTGATATGCTGTAGGTGTTCCGTTTGTCGCACATGTTGGTGGAGCACATGGTTTGATGAAAGGACCTGGAAGCAAAGTTAATAGCAACTGACCCTACCTCTGAATGGCAGTCAGCACTCACAAAATGGGAAAATGAGTGCAAAAACCCTTGTTCTCTGCTGCAGCAAAAAGAATCTTTCGGCAAAAAAGGGGTTAAGATCGCTGCTTTAAAAATCTGGCCAAGAATCATATTGGTCATGAATCCGGTACCTTGGCTCAGCCATCTTCAAGCCACCAATGTCAACAGCCAGCAAGGTCAGCACTTTAATACTTGTGGCCCAGAGGGGGGTGGCGAAAGCTAGGCAAAGAAACAACGCTGGGGCTCTTTAGGCAGCAAAAACCTGGCCGGGAATCGCAACATGCCATGGCCAGGGGAAAAGGAGAGTGCCAACAGCGCCCCCCCAATACGACCCCAACACAGCCAACGCATGGCAACACACAACCACCCCCGCAACCGCAGCAGCAGCAGCA